ACAATATTCATGTAAAAAAATACTTAAAGTGAAATAATTTTTCCTTGCATTCTAGATTTTCACTGAGATCAAACTGCTCATAACAGTGTGATAACAAACTGCTCATAACTGCTCATAACCTGCATGGTAACAGGTTATTTTAGTATATAGTTTTAAGTTTTTAAATAATATTTTATGTCATAGTGAAAAATTTAAAAGTCTGTTCTTCCATTAGTGCTCACCTTGCTTTCTGCCCTGAACTCATGGATAAAAGAACCACTGCAAGCAGCAGGATATAAACAATTATTAAGAGTCTTCCAAGTATGTTACTGCACTAATTCAATACTCTGGACAACAGATTTATTTATTTTGGTTTTTCTGTATTTTGCTTTAGTCTCAAATAGTTGTTGCATACTAAATGTTAAATATCCCTGTAGAAATGTAAGGTTGTTAGACTCCATTTTGTAATTTTTGATCTTCCTAGACAAATCCCGCACTGATTTAAAAGTTTAAATCCTCTGATGGAGCCATGCTAGGACATGTTATTACTGCCTATGACTTTCCGACTAGGGATGTCCAGCCTACTCAGCCAGCTAGTGAGCTCTGGGTATGTAATGAATATTATGAATTCATCTTAAATGTGTACAACAGGAGGTGGGCATTCATGGAACATATACATAAATGCATACATGCCATGAAAACTTCACAAAACTATCTGCATCCTATATCCTATTATTCAATAATGCATCATAAATTATTGTTTTAAAGAGAAGTCTACTATAGCAAATCCTCAGTTAAGATGCCCCTGTTGTTTTCAGTTCTGAAATCAGAGGGGAAAAAAATCAGTTGCTGAATACTGAGATGCTGGTACACAGTGAGCTGTTAGAATTTGTGACAAAGTAGACCAATGCTACATTTCTAGCATATTAAAAATCCCTACTAAAATTATTTTAGACTGGCTGAACAAGATACACAAGCCTGGAACTCCAAATGCCAAGACTTCATTAATGTGAATATATTTTTTTCTTCTGTTGGACGAAAATAAGAAGACGAAAGAATTATCTTCCTTGTTCTATGACAGTTCAGACATGGCAGTAAAACACAGAGGAAACCTCTCTCTTAGTTTCTAAGTAACTATTATAAAACCCCACAATAATATTTTGGCTTTGTAGTGATCACAATAAGAAAATATATTTTTGCATTCTTATTATCATCATTCACAAAATTGTATGGATTGACTACATGCAAAGGCTTTACAGATCCACAAAAGTTGGACCTGAGCCCTGTTTTATTGACAGAAACTTCATGAGATACTTCAGTCACAGCACTGAAGATCAAGAGGACAAATTCCCCCGAGCCCTGAAATTCCGGCCCTTGCCAGAGTGTTCACTGAGATCTATTTGCTAGTGCTTTGATCCAGGCTAAGCACCTCTGATGGAAGGCTGCGGAAAAGGATCAAGATACAATGAAACTGGGTCTTAGTGCAAATGTGGTGATTTTCAATATTGCTTTAATCAGTGACACCAAAGATGATCTGCCTACGGAAGAAATGCTGATTAAACTACGTCTTTCCAAACCATTTTCTTCAAAAACTAACAGTTACAGCTTCCTTTTTTGACCTAGTTCCTTTTATTGTTCAACACTCTTCAGCACTTTTAGAAACACAATCATCCATTGTGCACTTGTCACATCTTTTGTAAAATGCAACACTTTTTAAAAAAGGAAAAATACTGACTTTCATCCATTTTCCTAAGCCATTTATCATATTCAAAATTGTAAAATTCTTCAGAGGTTCAAAAAAAGAAACAGTAGGCTTTAATCTAAATGCTCTCTACTTACATTATGGATCTAAAATGTGACTGGAAATAGTGTTTGGAAAAGATTTTGCACTTCATACAGTCAAGCTTGATGAAAGCAAATCTGAAGGATGGGAGGGTATGCATAATCCCATAGAAAGCTGTCAGGTCTTTGCAATTCTTTCCTGAAAGTCATTACTAGGCAATGCCAGTACCAAACCTCAAAGTAATACACGAATTCATAAAACACAATCTTACCAAGTCCAGAGCACTCTCGCAGTGCAACCGCCATTCCCCTTAAAACTCACACTAACAAAACTGTACTTTCAGTTGCCACTGTGAACTCTAACAACAAGAAACCATTCTCTTAGTTACTGGTCAACCTTACTTTTGCTAGCTGTGCCGATAAAACTTGAACCAGACTGCCTGTGAAAACAAAATTTGCATTTCTTGCCTAAATGTTTGCTGATACAAGTGATGAATTGCGTTATGTTTGTGGAAGGAATATTCTACATTTTGATCCCTCAATAAAGCCTCCAACTGAACTACAAAACAGCTTTATACATACAAATACGCTGATGGATGTGCTTGATATATGCGACTATATCTACAGAAAACAAAGACTCAACGCACCTCTCGCAGATTTTGGGGCTTCTGAGGAAAGGGGGAAAATGCTTTAAACACCAAGTGAAAGACAAAGAGCATATTACTACTGAGAAGTACTGTGAGGCGTAATTTGCTAACTGATTATAAGTTTTAGTAACAATCTGATGAACAATTTCCAAGTGCATTAAAGTAATTAAATAAAACATTGAAATAATTGTATTACTGTTAAAATTCTCAGCAACACATTAAAAAAAAAAAAACAACAAACACCGAGTACAGTGAAAAACAAGTGCAGGAAACCTTCCACCTACGAAACAAAATTTCCAACCCCTTCTAACAGTGCCATTTCTCAAGCTAATATCCAGGAAAACCGGGCAGTAGGGGGAGGAATTAAAATAACGTCTGAAACTGGAAGCTAACTAAGTTGGAAACGTGTTTCAAAATTTAAGGGGGGGAGGAGGGAGAGGAAGCATTGTTTCCTCTAAGGTTCCTCTGTCCTTTCCACTACGCGCATTTCAGAAATAGGTGTTTTATACGGGAGACACGCATCCCCCCTGGAATTCAGCGGATTTTTGCCATCGGTGTGAAGGGCCCCCGGCGGAAACCTCCGTTCGCGCACTCCTCCTCCCCCAGCCCCACAGAGGAGGTGGTACCCTAAGATGGATATCAGAGCCGGGGGAGGGGGGATGCGCCTTTCTCCCACCCGTGGGAGTGACTCCGGCAGCGCTGAGGCCGCGGGAAAAAAAGCGCTG